CCCCCCCCCCCCCCCCCCCCACTCCTTACTTCATGGTTTTGCGCTGTCGTAATGTGCTTAAAAACCACATTTAGCAGATAATTCAGATGTTTTAGTCAAATCATAATCGGTTGTCTGTCCCATCCCTCCTCCTGTTTGTGAACGTTTCCAGGAAACAAATTCCCAGCGAGACAGTTTGGAGCATAATTTGTGCATCATTAAATCTCTTTCCTCCAGCGGGTTTCTTTACTATTTCCCACCGCATGCAACCACAGAAACAAACCACGTAATACGTGGTAGCACTTTAGCTCTATCCTCGTCCAACTCCCAATGCAGAACAAAACACTTTTTGTTTTTCTGTTTTGCTAAGTCGGGACCACACAAAGGACTCTTTTCTTTCGCTTTCACAACACAAATATGTTGTCAGTCCTCCTGCGTGTTCACCAGCTGGTGGTTTTGAAGGAAAAAAAAAGGTACACCAGATATCCGGGGGGAACTGCAAGTCCGATTTCTTTGAGCTATGTTTTCCACTAATGAAAAGCAAGCCAGCCGACAAGTCGATTCTCATGACTCTCAACATGTGCCGTCCACACACAAACACAATTTCTTTATGTCACCGCAACAACGGCTTTTCATTTGTCTCCCCTCAGGTTTCAGCATCAAAGCAGTGCCATTTTCAAACGCCATCCTGAATGTAAAAGAACTCGGAGGTAAGATGCCCAGCCCCAGCCTGCAATGCTTTCAGAATTTAATATGACGAAGTTCCTCCTTTGTCGTGTAAGTCTGTGAGGTGAAATATATATCGACCTAACAATAGACTGAATATAAGAAGTGGACGTAGTCCTCGTGACGTCGCCAATCGGTTTGTAGACTGACGATTCAAAGCCTCGAGGTCGCCGATTTGGCCGTCTCCATTTTGGATTACGGCTGTCGACATTTTAGCTGTTTGGCAACCAGTGAATGGAAGTTACCATATTTGGAATGCGGAGGAGTGACGTAGAGACGCTGTATACAGCTCTGGTAGCTGCAGCGACCTGTCAATCACAGTAAGCCCGCCCTAAAGCATACTCTGCTTTATGGACTATTTGACTCTAAATGGACCATAATTTACTAAATGAACATCATGCTGTATTGAAGAAGACTTGAAACTAGAGATTGAGACCATGAACTCATGTTTACAATGTTTACTGTGGTAATAAATCAAGAGAGAAGTAGTCATTTTCTCATAGACTTCTATACAATCAGAGGAGTCGCCCCTGATGGTCAGTAGAGAGAATGCAGCTTTAAAGACACTTCTGCAATGGCTTCACTCGGCAGAACCAGAGGTTTGCGCCTGTACCCAAACTAGACGTTAGCATGTTCAACTAAAACTTCAATTAAAAAACACAATGCAACATAACAACAACTCGCAATGGAATAATTATTTAAAAGCAGTCGCAAGTAGAGAAGACTGAGTTGCTGTTTATTTGCAGCTTAACATATTAGGATATAAAAGGCATTCATTTCATTTTTACACTAAGAAATCAAATTTATCTATTTCTGCAGTCATGAAAGTTTCAGTACCTCTGCAGGTAAAGTAGCATTATTATACGATTTGATCTAATTTATTTCATTAGTTTGTTGCTACCTTATCGTCACTGTGTTCTATCTCCCAGTATGTGGGTGGCGTGTTTTGATCCTCTATTAGCAAAGCAAAATCAGGAAACCTAAATTACACAATACAGACGTGCAGCATAAAAACATGTTTTTCATTCAGATAAACAAAGCTTGTCCTGTTATCATCTCATCTGTCGATATTAACTGTGTACACCAGGGATGCAGAAGCATGTTTGTTTTTGTTTTTTGTTTTTTTACCTCCGGTAGCATCACACCTTTCGGTCACGGACGTCAGACCTTGTTAGTGTGTTCTGAAGTGGCCCGCTCAATCTGCACCCTGTTATTCCTGGAAACGCACAGCACTCGAGGAAGCCGTTTAATAAGCACAGACGAGAGAGATGTCGGGGTGGACGTACGTAAACAGAGCGAATGCAGCGGGGAGGCTTGCAGTCCTTTAAAGGGAGTCTTTGGAAGAGGGATTTTAAATCAGCGCTGTCCCGTCTCCCCCTCCAGCAGCTCAGCGACACAAGAAAAGAAAAAAAAAAACAGTATTGTGTTGTTGAGGGTGAAAGTAATTTATGTTGTTTTCCGCGCACCATATAGGCACATGACAGGTGCGGTGCATGTTTTTGAAGGGACACCCATCACAGCCTCTTGAAAAGATGAAAAAAACACACACAGACACACACACACACACACACACACACACACACACACACACACACACACACACACACAAAGAGGCACCGGGGGACCACCAACGAGGGTGCTACCAAATTTGGACAGGGCGCATTAGGGGGGTTTTCAAAAGAGTTTTTTTTTTCTGGATTCAAAGCCGGTCTGGTGGGACATTATTGTGGTTGGAAAAACACTGGTCCCACGGATGACGCGTTTGATTTAGATAAGTTAGTATTGGCTGTAAACAACAGCAAAGGATGATGAAATCTGTTGGTTTTTCTTCACTGTTTGCCCCCACACACACACACACACACACACACACACACACACACACACACACACACACACACACACACTCCCCCTGCTTGGACCATCTCTTCCCTGCTCCTTTTTTCTTGTAAATACACAGAGCAAAATAATTTGTGCGATTCGTGGTGCCGTCTGTTATGGACGGGTTTGACGTGGTGAAAACAAGAACGCGATGCTTCTCCTTTTTTATTTAGAGCACGGTATCAGATTGGGTCCCCATCTACGGTGAAGTACTGATATATTTGGTTTGGTTTGAGCGTAAATGACGTAAATGCGGAGTCGGTGCTCTTGCGTAATGTCCTGCCGGTCAGTTTTCACAATCGGCTCTCTTAAATCGTTTTCTGATTAAAGCAGCTGCTTTTTCTGCACCGTTTGTAACTTACTCAATGCTTCTGTCAGCATTCTTTTTTTTCTTTTTCTTCTCTCCTCCCCTTTTCCCCCTATCGCTTTAATACAAGCAAACATACCCGGTCCAGCTTTGTTATTTTGCACTGCATCGATGATGCAGAAAAATGATACAAGATGTGACGCACAGACGTCTGTATGAATTCGTGACACCCCCACCTCCCAAAAATGAACTTGTTTTACACAATACTCATGTGGCTTGTTCTCTTCACTCAGCCTTGACTAAACCAAGGGAAGAAGCGCTCGTTGAGAAGCTTGAAGAAGTGAAGCACTTCCCATCTACTTCCTTCCTTCCTGTCCCACCGAAAAAGCCCATTGAATGTCAATGAGCTATTCTCCCTTTACAGTCTGAGACGTCGTGTCGGATAAACCATTTAAGGCACAAAACGCTTGTAAGATGGCTATTTTCCATTAATTTGCTCCGCTTGGTGAAGCATTTAAAAGTCATGAATTGCTTCCTCACTTTTGATATGGAGTTATTCCATCCTTGCTGTTTGCTTGGCAGTGCGAGTCTGATTATTTATGTGTAGTTTATATATAATTAATTATAAATGCATAGATAAATACAGGCTGATGTTTGTTTACCTTTGGTTCAATGATCGTGTGATGGGGGACGAATCATTGAAGGAGCACAGACTGAATATAAGAAGTTTGTCGTAGTTATCGTGATGTCACTCATTGGTTTGGTGGAATACCATTTTGAAGCCTCGACTTGGGCGATTTTGCCGTCGCCATCTTGGATTACGACCGTCGCCATGTTGTTTTTTTCATAACCAATGAACGGACCAAATACCATATTTGCCGAGGAATGACTAGATACGTCGTGTACAGCTCTGGTAACAGCAGCAACCTGTCAATCACAGTAAGCCCGCCCTAAAGCATACCCTGCTTTATGGTCTATTTGACTCTAAATGGACCATAATTTACTAAATGAACATCATGCTGTATTGAAGAAGACTTGAAACTAGAGCGTGAGACCATAAACTCATGTTTACAATGTTTACTGCTTCATTGTTTTTAAAACTGCCCGTCCAGACTAAAACGCAACCCGGGAGGTTTCAATCCTAAATGGCGCCAGCAGCGTTTTTCAAACGTCTTCGTTTTAGGGGTCGTAAAGCGTTGAGGTAGTGTGGACGCTAGGTGTAAACGTAGCAAAGGTTAGCTAACGTAGCACTGGGAGTCGTCATAAGAGCCAGGTCTTATTCTAAAGATGCAGGCTCTGAACCCTGAACACTCGTGTCGTGTGGCCAGATTGTCACAAGTGCAAACTGTCTTTTTTTAAACCAGAGACACAAAGCAGCTTATGATGTTTGGTGGCTGCAGCGATCCAGACCGGGCTACATGTTTGTCTCATGCATTCGTCATCGAGGTCCCTGCTGTCTTGTTTTCGTTTTGTTCTCCTCTGGTTGCTGTTGTTAGTTCCTCTTCCGGATCGTGCCATTATTTGTTCTCTTTGCAATCTTCACTCCAGTCAAGCTGTCCTTGTTTAATGATTTCAACACATTACATAGCCGTCTCCGCCGGACATTCGTTACCAGGCAGGACTTGTCCCTCAGTGTTTACATGCCTGTGTATAACTGAGTTATTGTCAGCCGTTTCTTAGTGACAATGTAAGCGAGAAACCCAGTTCCCTTAATTCGAGTAAAGGATTAAGAAAAACCCAGTTAAAACCATTTAGATCCTTTAGTATCTCTGTGACAGCGATGTGGTAGGATGAAAGTACAGAAATAATTCAAACCCAAAGTCCAACCCAAGCTTAGGCTGAAATAAATAAGTCTAAATAAATCGGTGTCCACAGCTGAACGGCAGACTATTTGAGAAACAAAACAGAAATCCGACATGTGCACGCTAAAGGACAGAGTGTGTGTGGACTTGCACCAGAGTCTGTCCTCTGTCAGAGAAGTCAACTCCCTGCAACACGAAAAAAACATTCACATATCACTGATGCTTTTTAGAATAAATCCACCTTGTTTTTAGAAATACGGTCATACGGAAACATGGTGGAACGTGGAGAATCATCTCGGGCTCTACCACAGCCACCTATCATAACACGAGACGCGAGTCCTCACCTCGTATTCCTTAGTTAGATGTGATCAGAAAATGCAGCGAGAAACAAATGGATACCCAGATAGAACTGTGTGATTTTCATGTTTATTTGATCAGCATGCAGAGCTCTTTGTACTCATGTGAATAAAGTGCAATAACGTCTTTTAAGTAGGTCGACATTGAGTATTTTGCATCTGGCCATCTTAAGTCTGGCAGATGTTTGCTACCCAGCTGGTGCCAGGTACGGGGATTAGGTGGGAAGGGCTCCTCCGGGGACACGGGGGAGGAATCTATCAAAAGTGTGTGTGTGTGTGTGTGTGTGTATATACGTCTGTACAGTGACATGATGTCAAGTCTAGACGGGCCATTTCACAGTGTGCATTCATGCCACACAACGACAGCTGATGAAGAAGTGGTGCTAATATTCACCACTCGTTGCTGTTGAGGCTTTTTTTGAGTGGTAGATATTTGCACATGCCGTGTCCTTTAATCAGTGTTTGTCACTCTCTATATCTATATATTCCAGTATTCTGGAATTCCGACAATTTATAGTGAAATAAATTGTTTTAATTAGCCAACTTAAAGGTTTATGTGAAACGACCTGTCAATCACAAGTTAGCGACGCCCTCAAGAATATATTCTGCTTTATCGTCAATTAGACTCTAAATGGGGGAGG